GTCCGGATATAAACCCATGTTGACAGATGTTGACTGCTTCTAGTAAACGGTATTTGACGTTATTTAGCACACAGCGTTCTAAAACCTTCGAGATAATGCACAGTAGAGAAATAGGACGGTAGTTCTCGGCGTGTTCGTTGTCACCCTTTTTGTGTATCGGTACTATGTTGGCTGTTTTCCACTCGTCTGGTAATGATCCCGAGGAAATTGACTTATTGAAGAGTGTGCACAAAGAAGGTGCAATAACGTCCGCTGTTTCTTTTAATAACTTAGCGGGAATACCATCAGGTCCTGTTGCTTTGGCTGTATCAAGAGATTTCAACATGTGGGATACCTCGACTTCACTAATTGTCAAATCAGTTAGGATTGGTTCGTCAGCTCCGCTGGTTGCATCCCCGTTGGATTCTTCTCTAGAATATACTGACGCAAAGTATTGATTAAACAAGTTTGCTATGCTTTCTGGGTTATCGGCCGATACTCGTTGAGATGTTGCTGCGCCAGCTGTGTCGTTGCTTGCTGATGAAATTGTGTCAGGGATGTTTCTTGACTTTGATGTTCTTTTTAGTACCGACCACAGACGCTTCGGGCTTTGATTGACATCAGTTGCCAGAGAGGTGAAGAACTTTTTCCGACTTTCCCGTAACATACGTTTTACTTCACAACGCAAGGTCTTGAATTTTCGCTGTAGTGGGTAGTTGTTGGGAGATGACTTTAGTTTTTGCCGAGCTGACTCCTTTCTTCTAATTGCGGTAAGGATGGCACCGTTGATCCATGGAGCAGGATTACGTCCTTTCATTTTTCTCATCGGAATATAGTGTGAGACGGTTGTTGTAAACGCATCCTTCCAGTCTTGCCAGGCGGTGTTGATGTCATTGGCACCTTCGACAAGAGTCGTTAAGTTCAGTGCATTTAATGCGTTGAGAAGTCCTTCAAAGTCACCAGCGCCATAATTGTAAACAAATCTCTCGGTTCTTGGTTGAGCTTTTACGTATGCAGAAAATTCATGCAGAATTGCACAGTGATCTGTCATCAGCTCGCTTTTCTCTGGACTGAGTATCTCAGACACAGTTACAAGTTCTGGAACGCTTGTAATCACGAGATCTAATACTTTGTTGGCACGAGTTGGTGTGGAGTTTACCTGGGTCAAGAAATGATCATTAAGTATATCAATAAAGTTTACTTCATTCACTCCTGATGTATTCAATGTTAAGTCCCATGAGATATTAGGAAGATTAAAGTCACCAGAAATCACAATGTTCTCAAACTGATCACAAGCGTGATCCAGAAAATTGTTAAATTTTCCCATCCAAGTGCACTCAGCGTCAGGGGGTCGATAGCATGAAGAAAATAGAAGGCGTTTGTTTGAAGCAGTTGTTAAGATTGCTGAAACGATCTCTAAACCTTCCACCTCATCCGAACTAAGAGAGAACTCCTTCACCGAACAAAACGAGTTTGTTTTTATGCCAACCAGGACTCCGCCGCCCTGACGTCCTACTCTGTCTTTCCTGAAGATTGTGTAGTCAGAGTGTAGAATCTCCACATTACTGATGTTCTCGTTGAGCCATGTTTCGTTCACACAGACGACATCAAGGTTTTCACCATAGACGAAGTCTTGAAATCGTTCTAGATTACAGATAGTTGAGTTAGTGGTGACATCTTTGTGAACACTTTTCAAACTTCTGTTATTAATTGCTATTGGAGGCGAGAGTGGCCTTTTTGCAAGCTGAGATTTTAACTTTAACCACATGTTCCAGAAAATTTATCAATAATGTTTCCTACAGTATTATGTTAGGAATAATTTCCTGATGAACTTGCATCATGACCAAGCCAAGTCATTTAATTTAAGTCATTTAATAAAAGTAGTCTTCAACCATAGTGCTTCGCATATAGCCTTTTAGTGTTCTACTGTATAAAAAGTGCCGAAATAGACCTTTCACACTTGCACTGTAAAATTTAAACTATCAAGGTCAAATTAGGTCATTGGTATCTGTCAATGCTTAGGAAACAGAGCTATACAAGCAATTGCCAGTTGCATATATCAGATCTAAAAATATAACCAAAGATTATATTATTATTATCTTTATAAAGTACATTTGCAGAGCTATTATCAGTCAATCAATACTCTATAAAGCATGTGCACAATAAATATTTTTTATCCAACATGCATGATCAAATATTTGAGATCAAATTTCTGCCACTTGAGGTGTTTTAATTTTATATACATAATGAATATGTATGCAGTATATAAAACTTTGGACCTATAAACCTCGCATAATTATGCAAATCGTACGTTCAATTCAACGATTTATTGTTCAAAATTCAATCCACTTTACCTTATTGCCATACATCTCTTTATAATCTCCTGAAATAGACGACGAGAATTCGAGAAATCAACACATCTCAGCTAGATAGTTTCGGCCAAGACAATTTTCTTGCATCCATCGAATTTATCTGCTTGAAATATTCTCCACAGAACGCCGGTAAGCATTCCTTATCGTCACTTTCAAATAACGATCTAACCTTTTCGAAATCTACGTCGTTCATTTCGATAATAGTAAATAAAATTATACAAACGAAATAATTTCCTTGTAAAATTGTACAGAACTGCAACAAAGCTACCAAGTGCACAATGCTTCCAAATTGAAGATTAGAAGGCCAATCAGAGGAGATGTTCTTTAACTCTTTTGCGCAAATTGTCCAATCAGAAGCTGCTATCTATTTGCAGAATTAGTCAAAATAGTCAAAATTTCGCAATCGTTAGTCAAAATAGATCTGACCAATCAACATGCCTGTAATGTGTAATCTGAGCAAATTTGACCAATCAAATCATATGAATTAAAACGCAGAATAGTCAATTTTCATTTGAATACCGCTTATTTGACTTATCGTTTGACTAATCAATCGCTGGCTCAATGTGCAAAAACTGATCGACGTTTATATGCTGGAGTATGATAGAGTTTTGATTGCGTGATCAGAAATGAAGAGAAGTGTTTGCGCTGGGAAAAAATTCAAAAACCTTAGTCCAAATTTTTTTATATGCCTTTTTTTTTACGTTAGTCGCGTGACTAATCTGACTACCCCTAGATCCGCCCCTGCGCTGCATCTTCTGTAACTGAATACTAAAATTATCATTATTTTTACGAGGTAAGGAAATTAGATCACTTAATATATCTATTATAGGTGTCTCTTTATCTATAAAAGCCTTAGCAGATTGAATAGCAAGCACAATCTGAAGCACAGGTGCAATTTTTTTCTCAAAGAATTTTATATCTGGAAAGTGACGCCTGAAGTCCAAGCAGTAAATCTCAGATAACGAAGCAGGGAAACCAATTTCATCATGGCCATCAAAGATGTGTTCCATCACAAGTTTAGCATAAAGAAAGCAATTCTGACTAGCCCGAACTATTTTTTCTTGGCCTACCTGCGCGTCATTAGCAAAGAACGAAGGAATACAGTTATAGTCTGTTTGAAGTTTTCTGTACTTCATGGAGACAAATTCACGAATATCTTTGCTAGACTGGGACTCAAGACTAGCCTCTAAGTGGTCTAGTTTAACAGAAGTGGAATTTAAAAAAGGCCTGATAGAGCGGGAGCATTGTGTCTTGCAGTCAAAATGACGCGAAGCCACGATGGAAGTGTTCCTGATAATCTGGCAATGCAAGACGCAATCTTGGCACCTCCTTCATCCAAGCCATCGATGATAAGAAAATGTTTGGTATTTTCATTCAATTGCTGCAATGGCGTGGTAATTAACGAATCGAACAGTTCATTAGGATCATTTCCAAATTTATCAGTCTGTAGTATCTCAACCAAGGCAGCATATTCGGGAAGACTCTTCGAGAGCATACTCCTGAGACTATACACTAACGATTCCAAATCGCAGGTGCGAGGATTATCTTTTTGACAGTACGGCACAAGGGAGAAAAATTGGCTGGATACCATTATAATGGTATCCAGCCAATTTTTCTCCCTTGTGCCGACGGACAAACTCTTGGGCGAAAGAGCTTTTGCCTGTTCCAGCACCACCCCATATAAGGAAGGCACGAGACTCCCGATGCCCGAGATCTTTTTCTAACCAGTTGTGAATGTCACTGAACAACCACTAACGACCGACAAGTTCTTCCTTCATTCGATCAGAGACTGGGTTAAACTTTAGCTCTGACCTACCGTCACAAAACCTTTGCTGTGACTCTGACTTAGCCTTTTCCAGCCGGCTGTTGATGTACACTTTCAACTCTTCTTTGATTTCTTTCTTGGCAATTTCCAGAGCGTCGTGTAGTTCGTTCTTTGTTACAAATTCATCCAACCTTTTCCTCAGATCTTCAATCTGCTCCAAGGTTGCCTCCACTTGATCCTTCCAAAAAGTCATATCACTTTCCAAAATGTTGATATCCTGACCAAGTTCACGTTGTAACTGAGCGATTACTTCCAATTCTTTTTCTTCAATAACCGCTAAACCAGTGTGGGGCAAACTACTAAGCTCTTTTATGGCGTCTTGGACATCTTTGTCACCGTTTAATTGTGGGTCTTGAAGAAGCGAGGTTAAAGATGCAAACGCATTGACTTTGTCAGCATTACTTATATGCAGCAACGGTGCATGCGCCCAAAGATTCCTAGCACTTCTTGCCGCTGCTATATTCGAAAGATCGACACCTGTGTTGAACATACCATTTGTCCCTCTCGGAGACCATTCCAATACATTTAACAGTCCCAATATATCAGTAGTTTTGGCGTTGACTACATCAAGCTTTCTCGGTCCCAAGGGAGCCATGAAAATCTAGTTAGAAATCTCCCATCGGCCCCCAACGGTCAACCACTGAGTGTTGTCACTGTTGCTCCAGGATATGTTTCTTTTATCAGTTGATCGATGGGCGTTCCGCAAGTGAGATTTCCACGCAGATACACTATTTGGCAAAGTTGCAATCAGTGATGTGTGGTACTTGTCGGCAGCATTTCGAATTATGGTTTCTAAGCTGTTCCGGGTAATCTGGATTGCTCGACCAACAGTAACCCAGTTTCTATATTCTGGATCGCTTAGTCTACTGTGAGCCATCGCTATTTATTTTTCAAGGCTGAAAAAATGCATTAGTATATTAACCTCTCCGCAGGCATCTAGAACAACATGTTTAAAATTTCTATAATATCATATATTTTATAACAACTCATTAAATTCTGGTCATTTTTATTGCACGCTCAGCTGTGCAATAGTGCAAGTACTATTGCACGGTAAGGTTTAATTAATTTTGATACTGAGACCGATGGAATTAAATTCAATTACATCACTCGTGCGAAGCAAAATGGCGGGTGTAAAAATCATTGAACTATAAGTAAACTGGAACGATAAGTTCGCCGCCATCTTTGAAGCCGGCCATGAGTGTTTCCCAGTCCTTTTTTACAAAATGGATGCGGAAAATACAGCTTAAAAATCGTTAAAATTTTCTCACTTTTACTTTTTTCAAGACATTTATATTTTTCCTAGAGCACACTTAGACAATACAACTTTTATCTAAGGCACACAAAATATGCAAATATTGTTTAACTGCCGAAATATGACACGAACAAAACGAAACTCTGCAAAAAACCGCGCAAAAATTTATGGGTTTTCTAGTTTTTAGACTTTCCAGAAAAAGTTCAGAGCCAATTTTATTTAATTAATGTAGAAAAATCTTAGATACGGTTGATAATGGATGTTCAAACATCCAGTACTTTAATAAGTTAAAATTAAGGATTAAATTAGTAAAAATACTTCGTGAAAAATTTTGTGTATTTATTTTCGTATACATACCTCCGAACAGGCTATACTTGAGCGCCCGAAATTGGGCTTCACCCAAACATAGGCTTTATCATAGGAGTTATCGTTCCAGTTTGCTTATAGTTCAATGGTAAAAATACAATAATTTTTCGATAAATGACCGCCATTATTAATCGTTGCTGTCACTTTTTTGTTGGATTTTAATTGGAACAATGTGTGTATTTGTTTTGTATTTACAGTCAAACCGGATGTTCGTTTCCGCGGAATATTGCAATTTTGATTGCGAGATTGCTCTGAGCAAGTTGCAACTGATCACGTGATCAAATTGCAAGTTGAAATTCAGAATCAGATTTGTAAACAAAGTCTCTGATTGGCTACTAGTAGCAAAGAAGAACCAATCAAATACTCTGAGCAAATGGATTGGTTCTTCTTTGCTACCAGTAGCCAATCAGAGACTTTGTTTACAAATCTGATTGTGAATTTCAACTTGCAATTTGATCACGTCAGTTGCAACTTGCTCAGAGCAATCTCGCAATCAAAATTGCAATATTCCCAACAATGTTGCAATATTCCGCGGAAACGAACATCCGGTTTGACTGTAATTCACTTAAAAATTTGATAAAATTGATGTATTTTCAGCAGTCATATAAAACAATGTTGTGTTTCATTCAATTGTTTTCATTCCTGCGAGTAATTACTAGCAGCTAAAGCGGACTAAATCCTGGGATTTCAAGTCGGCCACCATATTGAATTTAAACGCGCCGGAGTCTGGGATCTACCTTCACAAGACCCATTTTTGTATCTGCGCGGAGCGCTAGATACTATGCTATCGAGTTTGTGCGTGCGTTAAACACTCAGGTCGACTAATTAGGGCTGTATGCCTGCGAACAGGCCTTAAAACAAAGATGGCGGCTTTCTACAGAGTGACGATTGTTATTTTATCCTAGAAGATTAATTTATTTATTTCACCCAATCATTATGGTAATTATTTACATAAAAGTATTAAAGCTACAACTATAAATAGGGCTATGAGTCTAAAGAAACCTTCATAGGCTTTTAAGGTAAGGCCCTAGTTTAATGTCCAGTGCAAAGTTTTATATTGTGTCAATCAGTGCCAGTAAAAGTATTTACAAGAATATGAAGATTAATACATTAATATTGCTTTCACTAGTAAGAATAAAGTACATAATAAGGAGAAAAGTTGGAGAGCTATATAGACATAATCTGTTAATTACATGAATATGAATTCGACTTCCTTGTTTAAAATATAAGTTTACTAGATTGTATTGACAATGTCAATTATGTATTTTCGATTTTTTTTTAAAGATTGGTAGTGATGTTATTTTTGTCAAGCTAACATCAAGATTATTCCGAACATCCACTCCTTTCACTGAGAGTGAGTGCTTAGTATAATTAGTTCAATGGCAATGCATATGAAGTTTCGACGAGTTTCGGGTACTGTATTACTATTGGTGAATTTGGCTATTTGCTATAAAAAAATCCGTAAATGAATGTGGCAAGTTTTGTAAATGATGGTATCGGAACATGAATAAGCTTATCATTGCCCGAAGTAACATCTTAAAGCCTTTTCGTGAGTAACCATGCATTACATGGTTACTCACGAAAAGGCTTTAAGATGTTCTGAGAACACATTTTGTAAAAAACTAGGTTTTCAAAACACTGTTTTAATTAGTGGTATTAAATTACAATGTTTTAATTAATGGTACTATTATATAAGTGTGATTTGTGTTATTTGGTACAAGATTTTTACAGTCTATCAAAATTATAGGAGGGGCTCAGCCTCCCCCCCCATCCCAGTGTCTGCCACTGGCAGTTGACTGACAGTTGATTGCAGTAGAGAAGAGACTGCAATCTGAACATTCTTTGTCATATCATAAAATATAAACAAAGTGACTAGCCGGCAGCTGGGTATTTATTATAGTGACTATAGTTAAATATAAAAAACTTTTGTTTGCGCTAGCTTTCACCGAGCTTGCCGTTAGAGTGTATGGTAGGCACTGTGTGCGGAAAGTGAAACGCAGTCTGGGTCGGGTTGTGTTTTGTTTGACTTAGCATTTATCCTTAGTCACTATATAGCCGGCAGATTACTAAATAGCTGGCTGCCAGCTGTATAGTCACTTCGAAATTTAATTGTTTACTCATAGCAACCATGGATTTCCTTTGCGCAGATACATGTACGCCTAGCGTACCTATTTTTTTTATTGTCGAGGGTAGGAATTCGAGGGTGAAAAGCTTGAGGGTATACATTTTAATAATTTAACAAAATAATAATTTTAGCTCGTGTTCATTTAGTTTACTTTTAATTTTTAGCTCTTATTTTTATATGCAATTATTATTTTTTTATATGCGATTACTTTTTATATGATAAAATATTACTACATGAAAACAGACATGCCGATCAAAAGCTACAGTCGAGATAGTTTCAAACGGCGTGGTGCATTATCTGCGTTATCTCGGATTGCATGTCGCAAATTATTGTATTGTCTATTCACTATATATGGTCTATTGAATCAGAGTAATCAGGACTTGTTTACACCTTGCCATTGCCATACGCCTTTTCCGGGTTCGCGCCATCTTGAAAATATTGCTTTCGCTATCGTGCTTGCCCCACTTGCAAATTTATCTATAGGGAATGCCCGCAAATTTCTACCCTCGACAATAAAAACCATAAAATATTTTAGAAATACGACCCCGGACTTTTTACTGATGACCCTCGACTTTTTTATATGACCCTCGACGTTTTATATATGATTTTTCGACCCTTGCTTCCCGCCCTCGACCCTCGAGAAAAACTCCTGAAATTGAATTACGTAAACAAACCACATTTATCAAACACGCAAAGAAAATTATTTAAAAAGTAATATATTGTTAGTCGTGTCATATAGTTAATTGTCAACACTTTTTCAATGCATGGTAGTAGGCTAAGTTCATAACTGGCACCATAACTCATAATTAAGTAAGAGTTATTAGTTCAAATTTGTGCGGATTTCTATTGTTCTCAATAGGGTTTTATTTGGGTAAGAATCTGAAAGCAAGGGGAGGGATTTGATATCTCCCCAGGGAAAAGCGCGGTTGATAAATAGAATTGAATTGGATTGACGATTAAATATACACCGGGTTTTATCTATATAAAACCCGGATTTTTGCGGGTTATATATATATAAAACCCGCAAAAATCAGGCTTTATATACTTAGATAAAACCTGGTGAATATTTAATCATCAATTCAATTGAATTCTATTCATCAACCCCCCTTTTCCCTATAGAGATGTCAAATTCCCTCCACTTGCTTTTAGATTCTTACCCAAATAAAACCCTATTGAAAACAAATTTGGAATCTTTGCTTCGACAAACCCATACACATATTGTTCGTTATAGCGCTTCTACCTTCGGCCCACTCTTTCCAAATACGATCGAACTGCCCAGATGGTGTTGTGTCTTGTGCCTACAGTATATTCGGTATACGCTCAATACGCGTTTTTCAAGACTCTTTGTTTATCTCTGTCTAGTTTGAGCACTGCAAATCCCAATGGTTCGTCATTTGCTTGCAAAAATTTTCTTTCCATAAGCCTACATTTTCATCTGATTCCGGTTGCCTGGAAGCATTTTTTTCGTCGGTACATAGGTAGTTCACGTTTCAATCTCATTTTCATATGGACCCCATGGTAACAATCGTTATTCTCTTAATTCAATGCAAGTATTTTCGACAAAAAAGTAGATTTAATTGTTTTTCAATCCTTACAAATTTGAACTAAGTCAGTTAATTACCTCGAACGTCGGTTTCTTAGCGAGATACATCCCTCGGGAGCGTTGCCCTCAGAAAGCATCCCTCGGGCCTACGGCCCTCGGGATGCTTTCTTCGGGACACGCCCCTCGGGTTGTATCTCGCTAAGAAACCTCGTTCTCGGTAATTAACTCTTACATTACCGAGAAGGAGGGCTTTATGCTATATACAGCCCCGAGAACGCGAAGCATTTCATGATTGAAGAGGTTTTCTAA